CTGAACAGTGTTACTCAATCTCAGCTAGCGCTACCGGTTCTACTCATTCATGACAGTTGTTTACTAGACTTTCATATTTTTCTTCAGGGAAAGAGCATGTAATAAACACGACATTACATCACATCCCAATATTTCTGTAACCGTGGCTACGCGCAACATCTCACGACAGTCTAGTTCAAGCATTCACCCATATGGGAGATCTTTATGGCTATTGTTGTTGTCACGACACAGATGAACTGTTATGACCTACACTTTCAGAGACCGTTCCATTAGTATGCAGGTGAAAAAAGCTCATTATTTCGAAGGTAAAAGTCAGGTTGATCGAAAGCAACCGCATAAGATCTGAACTATGGTAAGCAGCCTAAGGCAGCGTTCATAGTTCGCGATCGTGTGTGCGATTAGGCAATTAAGCGTTTTTTTTACTATAAGGAAAAGAATACGTATCGATGAGGCCATTGGGAGAGGAAGACTGCACACGTATCGACTGATCAGCTCCGCCCACCAAGCTATCGCCATTACGCCCACCCACCTATCAGCCAAGTCGCCTAATCGATACGTTCGGTTTTCTGTTAAATCGTCACTCGAGCGTCTAATCGATACGTATCACTTGCTTCTCGTGTAATAGCCTAGTCACATGTGTGATCTCCAACAATTAAGATTGCCTAGTCGTGAGGTAAGCATGATGATGGCACTACAAAAAATCATGACTTGGTGAAAAAAGAGCACTTATCTCCTTGGAGGGATGGCCATCCATGTGGCCGAGCCAATTACTGTGCTTTGGACTAAGCCTTAGGGAGGGGAAGGGATCCTGGGGAGCATGTGAGCAATTGTGTTCTCCCTGGCGTTTCTCCCTTTGCTGGGCTTAGTCCTAGTCTCACCTACCATCGGCCCTGTTTTGGATGTCCCCTCCCCCACACCAAGGACATGAGCGCCAAACGGTGCAACAGATTAAGTGAGTCATAAGGAAGAACGACAACTCACGGGATGAAACACACGTGAGAACGGTGCTTGTGAATAATGCCAGCGCCATGGGCGGAATCCACTCAAGGAGACCTAAGCCTGGATTTTTCAGAGTGATAAAATGCTATTTGGTCATAACACATCCTAACAACAAAACTGACTCACTACTTCGAAGAAAACAATCTGCTGCTTTCTCAGCATGAATCGAACTCACCCGTAACTTCGACCATACACCACCAAGTTCAGTTTAAGAATGGAACAGCTCATCTAGTGAAACTGAAAGCTGCGATAACGTCATGCTTATCATCTTCAGTCGTGTCAGCAGATACCAGTCGTGGCGGCGCGCGATGGGTAGTCCCAGATCCGCTCTTGCCGTACTTCCTCAACAGGGGTCAAGCGAAGCGTCGAGGACAATTTGGGAAATACGACCCCCCCCCCCCAAAACTCCTCCGCCTGCAAGCCGCAGTCCCACGAAATAACTCGCGGGTCTCATCCAGTAAGGGGGGGCATTGTGATGCAACGTCTAATAGCTGCCCTCACCCCCCCACCCCCCTGAACTGGCTTCACTCCCCCTGGCTCACGGGGTCCCGTACTTCGAGAAACCTGTGCGCCAGGGGGAGTGTAGGCAGTCTAGGGGGTGGGGGTGAGGGCAGCCACTTGATGCCCCCCTTACTGGATGAGCCCCAAACCCTCTTCAAAAGCCGAACTATGAAAAGGTTGAAAAGCTTGTTTAATTCTCCCCCAAAACTGCTCATAAAAAAGCCTGCTACCCCACCGCCCACAAAAAAATTCGTTTAAGAAGTACAAAAGTGAAAAAGTCAAAGAATAATCATTATTGATGAGTCCTACCAAACGAGCAAACGAGAAACAGACCAGAAAACGACAAACTAGCCACTAAAAATGGCATACCCCAACATCTGTTCTTTATTTATTTCCTCCACAAGACTTACCAAATTCTAGTACTACACAGATTGTGGTTCTCAATTTGCACGTAGCCCTTCAGTTGAAAGAAGCTTTTTAACCGCCTTCGCCAGCTGTGTGTTGACTGGACTTTGGCGTTGACCGTGGAGCAGCTTATTTACTATTGAAATTTGAACAAATATTCAAATGATTATAACTTTCTTCAAATATGACGAATTTTCAATCTGAAAGCAGATTTGGAAGTTTTGTGAAGAGCTTTTTCTAATCAGTATTGAAATTACAAAAAGTTATAAGAAATAACAAATTTAGATCAAATAACGAGGAAAATTCGAGACGAGCACGAGTTTTTACACTTTCCGGAGCAATAACTTGCTTCATTTCCGTCAAATTCAAAAAGTTGATACGTCATACAAAACTAGAAGATTTTCTCTATCCAAACCGTTGCTAAAGCAGCTTCATACGTCCAGTATTCAAAAAATGGCCACGTTGAGGATTTTCGCAAAATTAACGAGGAAAATTTGTGATGAGTGCGAGTTTTTTTACTTCCTAAAGCCATAACTCCGTTCAAACTCATCCAATCCGAAAAGTAAATACGCCATCATAAACTAGAAGATTTGCTCTATCAAACGCTTACTAGAACTGCTCCAAACGTCCAGTATTAAAAAAACGGCTACGTTGAGGATTTTTGCACGAGTACCGCCGAAAGGTACTTTTTCGCTACATTGGCACTATTTCAACGGCTGTATATCCTTTTAAGGGCGATTATGTACTAAAGTAAGAGCAGATTTGGAATCACTGCTTTTCTCTTTCTAAGAAAAGTGATTGATTAGCGTTTCTCAACTTTAAAGGTTACATGTTTATAAATTTAACCCTGAAGAGTCCGTTAACGCAATGTTGAATGGTGTACACCTCCCTGTAAATGCGCACGGACACTTTCAGAATTCTCTCGATTGTTCCTGAATTGAGGTTGTTTGTCCAAGGAGCCGTAGTTGAAGCGCGCGCAACAACTAGACCCTTTCTCGGATGCGCCGTGTACCTCACATCCCTTCAGATTCGGGGTCTTACTTGAAAGATGAAATATATCTTTGGAAAGCGTGCGAAATTCAGATTCTTTAACTTGTGTGGTGATAAAACACTGAAGTAACTAAGAATTACCGGACGCCTCAGAATCACGAAAATTTTGTGTGGGTGAAATATCATTTTCATTGGAAATCCTCTGGCCTGGCATCGACTCATCCTTGATATTTGTCTTCCGACGGTGATGATCCCACTGCATCAAAATGGCTCGATCTCTTCCACCCAGCGGGCCAATACGACCCCCCCCCTGCGACGTGTCGAGGATTCCTCAACGCACGCTTGACCCTGCTCCTGACCCAATGACAACTCGATTGGAGAGGAGGGGAAGCTCAACTGAGGACAGTCCACTTGATATAATTGCGGCGCGGGCAACGATACTCTGATCAGCAGTTCTAGGGACTGTTATAGAATACATTATATTCAAAAGTATCACAAATTCACAACATAGAACCATTCACATACAACTATTAAGACCACGGGTAACAGTACAACGGCGGGCGAAGGCATAGGCAGGCAAAAGCAAATCGCGCATCTGCGGAAGAAAGTACTCCAGTGAAAGAATTAGGCTACTGCTACTTTAGGGCGTGGGTCGCTAGGACAGGAGGCAATTTTTTCGTTCGTGGCGGAACTTTTTTTACTGCGGCTACCCCAGGTCCACCCATGATCAGAGGTGAACCTGGGGTTCTCATAACGAAGAATTTTCGCACTGCGAAAAGCTTAAAAGTCGCTTTCTGTCTCGGGGACCCGCACCCGTTGATAGTTGAATTTCGAAGTTCCTGAGTGACCGCTCAAAACATATTGTCAACAGACCAACAGCCAGCCGATAACAACAACACAACAACCAGTTACGTCAATAGACCTCTTACCCCTCCCTCCCCCTCACGCCGATGTCAGACTTCGCGAATCGAATAGGCCAGTGCCGCAACGCGACCGCGGACGCTAGCGAATCGCTCGAAAAGAGTCAGACATCGACCTCAGAAGACATCCAGTTGGAACAAGTGTCAATCGCCCACGTCAGGCTTAATACTCCCGCAAAAATGACCCGTTTATCGATTAGTCTACGCATGATGTAATCAGTCAATCACTTCAATTACAGAAGAACCGCTCGACGACGACGATGAAGAGTGACGCTTTCGGTGGGATTTCTTGCTCTTCTTTTCCTTCTTTGATTTTTTCGACGATTTCTCCTTCTTGGATTTCTAAATACACACATCACAACCGTATTTACACGCTTGCTCCACACTCTTATCATATTACACTCACCTTTGACTTATGCTTCCTGCTCTTTTTCGATTCCTTTCGCTTCGCTATTTCATCTTTGAGATAGGCCAGCACAGAGAATCCACTGATTGCTGAAATCTCATAAATTTCTCCCTTAATTTCCAAGAAACGTTGTGGTTTCAAACTGTTTTTTCATATTGAGACGTTGTGTATCTAGTGGAAGGATGTGGGTCAGGAGGTACAAGTTACAGCACAGAAAAGAAAGGATTCACTATTAAAAAAACCGTTTGATAACTCACTTTCACTCGTACTCGTTGGTGGAGCCGGCCCAAACACCTCCTCATCGTCTTCAATGTCCATCACCGTGATTGGCTTGGGCTTCGACGGCACCTCTGTTGCCTCCGATTGTTTGTCCTCCTTTGTCTCCTCCTTCGACCCTTTCGGCTCGTCCTTGTCCAACTCCTTCTCCTTCTCGTCCTCTTCATCGCTATCGCTCTCACTCTCACTTTCACCGAAAATCGCATCAAATATCGATTTTGGAGGTCGATCTAGTTCTTCATCTTTAGGCTCCTTGGCTTCCTTTTCCAACTCTTCTTCACGGTGAAGCTCCTCTCGCGCTCTCCTTAACCATTTATATTATGACAAAAGATGCAAGAAGAGGTGCCATCTTGTACCACCAAGACTTCCACGAACACATTGGAAAGATAAGTGATTTGAAACATTTAACGAGCAAATACGGCTTACTAGTAACTGGTTGTTGCCACATTTACCCTAGGACATTTACTTACCTTTGCGCAAGATCGTTCGCGGTCTGTGGTAGGCCCAAGTTCAGTAACGTCTCTTTCTTTGTACTCCTCTGCAAATGTGGCACGCCTACGATCTCAGCTCCAGGATATGGATTGGGAATGTTGAAGCGCTTTGCCAGTGAATTATGTGGGTACCTGGAACAATTCAGGGAACTCTTGGAAAGCATTAACGTTGAATAGCACAGTTATAGTAAACTGCAGTTGACTGAACGATTCGCAACTAGGTATCCTTCCTGAGAAAAATTTTATCCAGCTTTAAAAAAACCATAAATTACTACCTACCACTGAAATGTCGTCCTCGTTCTTTCGCCGAACATTCCCATCTTGACAGCCGCCACTTTGTCGCTATCATGCATGCTCGCCTAGAAAACGAAGAAAGACATAATACCGCAGTCATCACACTCCCTACAGACCGTTGCAGACCGAACCAAAAAACATCATGTACCACAGAGTAGAAAAACTGAAAACCCACGGGGCCTGATTGTCCCGTTTCCTTGGCGAACTTGTTCTGCATCATTTCCTGTATAGGCATAGCGAGGCTGGTCTTCGCTAGCGGTTTCATTCTAGCTCGTACCTGAACTTTGCATCAATTCATTAAGAAGTCGTATAAAATAGTGAAAGCACTTGAAGACGCAGAATATGTGGGGTTGAGCTGAGACTGGATGTCGTCCAGTGTACCTAGGTTCACTAGATCTGTTCCCCGAGACCACCAAGTTTTCAAGTAGCACTTCGGCAAAGCAAGTCATTCAGCAAGAGCATCCCGGTGAAAAGATAGCCATGTAAACGTAAGTTCTCTATACAGCCAAAATAGTGCACACATACAGCGCGAAAAACGAGGCTAAGAACGTTCTTAGTCATGAAACCGTAACAGTAGTGTCAGAAACGAAACAACCAACCTCTGGTAACATTCCACGCTCTTCTGCTGTCAATTTTCCTTCGAATTCTTTCTTTTCCGACTCCCATTCCCAAACGGACAGTTCCTTCGGTTGTGGTAGCACCAACCCTGATAAATCGGAATTAGTACAATCCTAGCGCAGAAAAGAGATTTCCGGGTTTCAGCCTCTCTATTTTCTAACTCCTGCTCGCTTCTTAATCGAGGCCACAAAAACCATTCAAGAAGAATGAATTCAGAAGGTGGAAGGCCTTTTCCTCGCCCCTACCATAACCCTACCGTCATCTGGATTGACAGCCAGTGAAATAAGATTAAAAGGAGCGGAAATGATTCTTACCTCTTCGAAGGTATTTCAGAAATTCTTTAAATCGTGCTTGTTTCATCGGTTCATCGGGGAATTCGACTCGATCCTGGATTAACTGACTAAAGTGTAAAACGACGGGTGAGATTTTACGCACAAATTAATCCAACATCAGAATTATGAATAAAAAAGCAAAGTTAATACGAGCGTAAATCTTGAAAAGAAATTATTCATGACTGACCTTGCTGCTCTTCCAGTCTTCTTCTGCGTTATCGCTTCTTTCACGCTGATCCCATCGACTTCGATGCCGCTCTAGGCGTTTTCGGTCTTTGTCACTTACCAACTCCATCACGGACACGCGGTCTTCGCCCAGTAACCTTGAGCAGTACAATTGGTTATAGCTCCCTTAAGGCACAATGCACGCAATTCTTGGCACGCTGCGCACCCTATTGACCAGTTTCTTTTCAAAGACGATAAGACATTTGTTATGTAGGCGCTAAATTAAAGGCGATGTAGGCGGGTGAGCGGTAATGAGATATTAAAGCAGGCTGTCATAGGCGCATATGAAGAGCCGTATTCCAGCGGCAGCATTCATCCACTCCAGTATTTCACTCCGCAGAGCAGAATTATAAGAAAACAATAGCACTTCAACAAACATACATAAATCGGCTTCTCTACGTTGAGAAACGTAAAAATTAACTTACTTCGCTCTTTGAATATTAGTCAGCGTCTTCATGGCATCTTGTAACACTGCTGGCAGCTTAGCTGACTCCAAGGCCTTCGGACGATGCGCCGGTCGGAAATTCGGAGGTAACCTCGGCGGTGCATAGAACTTGCGAGGATTCAAACGCTGTAATTGTAAGATTTCACTCCAAGCGACAATCGGCTCCACATAATCAAGTCTGTTCGCAGGTAAAGGCTTCACATAAGGTATTTAATATGCAAGTTATTACGATTGAGCGAAGGCGGGCACCTAGCTTAAAAGCGAGCGAGCAAAAAAAATCCCAAAGAATCCGCAGATCTCGAAAAATATTCCCGTCTCCCATCCCGAAAATAAGGTCCATGATATGTCCTCACCTTCAAATAACACTGCAAAATATTGATTGGACTGTGTGTTTAAGCAGTGATCTTTTCGGAAAAGTTTCCATTTCACTTCGTTATCTGGAAATTTTTCATTTTCTCGCGCCAGAAAGGATGAGTAAATGTCTTCCTCCCTCCCCAAATGACTTGCTTATCACCCTCATGGGCGCTTCTTAGGTACTACCTCGCCTTCAAATGACCAGAAATTGTGCAATTGCAGAAATTGACGTGGCATTGGCACACGTGGCTAAATTCTCGATGAAAAGGTGACATCACGTGTGCTCAAAGATGTTCTTGAATCGATGCCACGTTAATGCCACGTCAATTTCTGCAATTGCACAATTTCTGGTCATTTGAAGGCGAGGGTAAACAATTTCCATTTTTAATAATTATACATAACTGGCAATTTTAGCTAAGCCTTTCTGAACATGACTGGAAACGAGCTGTCAACGGTTGTTGCACCCTCTTCTGACGTCCCAGGTGCATCCAGGGCAAAATCGAACTGATTGAGATCATAATTTGAGTAAATATTCTCATCATCCTCCTCGAACGCTCCAACTCCGAACGCCTAAAAGCCAGTATTACCTCAGCTTAGCGACCTGCCTTGCTGCCCATTACTCCGGCTTGAATGCTTCCAAATAAATGGCAATTCCAAGACTAATTGCTCACCTGCCCTCTAATCCCCCGACTTTTCGCTTTGGTCTTGAATGCCGAAGCAATGCGACCATATCGCTCGTCAAGCACAGATGAGGCACTCATCGCCTCATAACCAAGGCCATGGACACCTTCTACTGAGCGCAGTCGCGTCATGAGCACGTCTTCTACAGCAGGCATCGAAGCCGCCCGGTGCCTTAGCCTTCATTTGCTCCGTATCCACATCGTCATCTGCAACAAGCAATGATTCGCTTTAGATTAACTAGTTTTCACCCAAGGTGTCAACAAAATTACATTGAGAGCATGTGACAGCACCTTTCAGCTTCCGCTACCTAACCGTACACCCATTGTCACTTAGAACGAACACAACCCACTGCTCACAATGCGTAATACTGACTAAGAGGGTCTTTCAGGTCATTCCCCGCTTTTTCAAAACCATTTTTTGCACGATGTGGGAGCATATGCATGAAACACAAAACATGGTATATTTTTTCTAGGCAACCTCTTAACACCTTGGAGCCCATGCAGCCCATATGTGGGCTGCAATCGTCAACCGCTTAGGACCTTTCGGCCCACATTTCGTTAAACAAATATTACGTTTTTCTATTCATTTTCTTTTCCATCGCATTTGATAAGGTTTCTTCTGCATCATATGCTATAGGTTTTTCATTCCAAGTTGCTTAATAAGATTCCTAAAAATTCTGTTGAAATGCCACGCGGCCACAAAACATAGAACATGCGCGGTCCAACCTGTTAGTGCCGAAAAACGGGTTGAGCGCCACGAATTTTTGACAAGTTCTTTCCACGGGATCACGACTCAAACTTTCATCCTAAAATTTCATAAAGGGCCACTCAAAAAATTAAATAGTTTAATGTTCCATGCATGTAACCCTGTCTAATTCATAAAAAACGTCCTGAAACGCGCGCGGCAGAACCCGAAAGACCTTCCTGGTGAGTGCATACAATTCTTATTCTTGTCAATTAAGTTCATAGCATCTCATACTTTAAAAAGAGTACAACGTTCCACAAGCTGCTATAGCACGAGGGAGGATGAGAATTTTTTCTATTCCACATGTCTCCCAACTCACATTTCCTTTTCGACTTCGCCGTCGTCAATCCTACACCTCGTCCCTCTCGCCACCCCATTGATCGAAGCATTCGTTTTCCGATCGAATCGCTAAAAAGGTTTCATCTTATCACATTCTCACATACTGATTCATGCTTCAGAAAAACAAAAACCACTCGCATCGCACTTGACGCAAGCTCAAACTGCGACTTTTCTAAATTCACTAGGAGGACGCATTTTTTTCCACAGCCAACAACGAAAATAACTGCGAGACGGTAGGGAACGATTTGGACAATGAAAAAGTTCCCTCCTATGTCTCTTCCGGATTTTCCCACTTCCAGAGAAAATTCAAAACATTGGAAACTGCTCCCCTTACCTGACGGGTCTTATGATGTTCTCCAGCTTGCATCGCCATAGATGTACTGGAACTGCTCGTCACATCATGCTCCCATGCCATTCGCTTTTCTGCCGATCGACCCGATCCAAAATCTTCGGCTGTACGAATTCGTCGTGCGCCTATACCGAACTCTCCCAGGTCCTATAAGTCAAAACTCTGAGAATTCTGTAACAACATCTAAAATTATGAAGCTAATCAATACCATGTGAGTTCGAGAACGTGTGATGAAAATCCAAAAAAGTAAATGGTGAGCGTAGCACTAAAAGACAACAAACCTCCTCATCCATAAGGTCCTCAGCTCTTTGTTGAAATTTGACTGCTCGTTGATCCCGTGAAGACTTGAATTCCTGTGGAGTCCATCCTGGAAAGTACGATTAGAAGTCGGCTTTCAGAGAATATCTGACCATTTGTTGAGTAAGCCGGTAGGGTCAAAGAACTCCCGATGGAGTCAACAATATCGGCAAGCTACGAACAGGTAGAAGGTCAATCGTGTATCCAAATGAGCAAAGTCGGCAAAGAGTAAACCTGTAGAAGCCGAAAAGGATATCTCTTGCCGACCGTTTTCCTACAGTAATCGTCAAACTATCTATAAGTGGATTAATGCTAAAGACGACTGAAAACAGTATATTTACCTTCTTTCGTACCCACAGTGTTGTAGTACCCAGCCGAGAAACCACCCGTGAAAGCACCGTGGAACCTAGAAATCATGCAATATAATCATCGCTGACAATGACAATCTAAACGAGTCGAACCCAAAAAAGTTGAACGCCAGTTGTGGTATGAAAGTCTAAGAGCCTGATACCGATGAAAATTAAAAAAGCAGTCCTCACACCAGCCGCGCTCCACATAAAGGAAGATGAAAAAAAAGGAACTTATCTATGTTGTTCCGCACGAGTGCCTTATGCAGCGTTTCAAATAAATAAATCGAACAAATCTACAGATTGTATTATAAAAATGGTGATCACCTTCGTCTTCCATTTTCATCGGTGACGATCTGATCTTGAATACCAGTCGGCTTTCTCGAGATTTCTCAAAAAAGACGCGATTAATATCAGGCTCCAAAAACCTACATATCTGATTATTCTCTGTGTTCATGTTAAATCTTCTCCTCAAGCTCTGACGAGGGTGAAGAAACGAGAACCATATAAAGCTGCTCCAATCTTGAAAGGCTTGAAAATATAACTCCGAAGAGGTTTGAAATATTTCATAGTTCTAAAGGTTGCAAAGCTCAGAAACTTCAACAGTCATCCCTACCTTCAAAGCACAACACTTACAGGCACCAAATCTGCCGATCGGAGTGCGTTACCTTACCTACGAAAAGACATGCGCCTATACTAATACCTCGTAACCTCGACTTTTGCGACGGCTTACTCACCCTGCAAGCACCCCCCCCTTAAACTCTTGCCAAAATCCCTGTTCGGGACGGGTAAGCCTTCGACCGCTAAGATGATTGAAGTGTATGAAGTGACGTATACTGCTAAAGTGCGGTAGCCGTGCTCGGCAGACATCATTCAAAAGGATTGACTAGGACTTTTGAAATCCAAGTTTTCAGAAAAGTTGAGTTTAAAATCGCAATTAAAATAAACTACCCACTTTCATCTTCCTCCAAATCCTCGAACTCTGTACCGTATATCGCAAAAAATTCACCGGACATTCTGAAGAGAAATAAGCATACCAACTACTCCAGCGGGGTTCAAAGTTCCAAGAAAATAACTCTGGGCAAGCCTGTTTTCAGTGCACAAGAAAAAACAGCGGCAGATTCATTTAAAAACGCTTTAATTCTATTAACCGTATAATCGAGGACAAACAAACACAAGCAAGCACATTACGACTTCTCGAATTACATCGGATCTAAGTATAGAACATCGAATTCAATGTATGTTATTCCCTAATTCTATTATTTGTTCACTTTGTTGAAATACTCCTTGCTATCCTTGACACCTGGTTTGATTGTTGGAGAATCATCATGCCAATCTGCAGGGCACACCTGAAAGTGCTCCATACAGCGCTTATTGCTCACACATTGACTTGAGGTAGTACCAAAATTTCTGAATAAAAAACGTACTTCGCCGTGCTTCTCGACAAACTGGAATGCTTTGAGTACACGCAGGGTCTCGTCTACTGAGCGACCTACTGGTAAATCATTGCAAGTAGTGTGACGAACGTTACCATTGGGATCAATCAAGAACAAACCACGGTATGACAAACCCGTTTCCTTAAAAATAATTTAGACAAGACTCCTACTCAAGAACATCGGTAGTACACATCACTCATACCTCCTCCAAAACACCAAAGTTTCTAGCTATTTTCTTGTTGAAATCTGAAAGTACTGGGATATTCATGTCTCCAAGACCTCCTTCCTTTCGCGGAGTCTGAACCCAGGCGAGATGGGAGAAATGCGAGTCGCACGAGCAGGCCACAACCTGTAAGCGAATGCATAAACATAAACAACGGCCCCTGTGAATAAAATTAAGCTTGACTTCCTCCGAAAGAACGAAAACGTTCCAAATTTAAGCCTCACCTCGCAACCGAGATCACGGAATTCTTTGGCGCGGTCTCCAAAAGCGATGATTTCCGTTGGACATACGAAGGTGAAGTCGAGAGGATAGAAGAAAAAGACCAACCACTTCCCATTGTAATCCTCTGATGAGATCACCTAAAACGGAATATCAGAGCCTTCAAAGAACCTTGAATAAACACTTCCCCTTCATCTATTATTCAAGTGAATGCAGTTTAGTGAGAGATTAGAAAATTCTTTTCGCAAGAATGAGTATTAGAATTTGCTACTTTAACAGCTACAGAAGTAAGAGATCGCCAGAGAAAAACATACAGGGGGGGGCCAAAAAAAAAAGACATTTTGCCTATGTCGGACTTCGGCTCTTTTTTTCTTCGCAGAGATTGCTGTCGTTGACGGGAGTTCCTCAGCAGAGTATTCCCTAAGTGTTCCTCTATTAGTGTACGCAGGCTCTCCTTCACTGCCCTCACCGTCTTCAGAATATGACGTCATCTGTCACCGTCGTCAGGCTCAAGGAGGTCTACCGTAAGAGCTTCAGCCTGAAGCTCTTACGCAATTTCGTGAATTAATGTCGGATTGAGTTGGATGTGGATAGTTTTCTAGAGGCATTAGCTACCACTGTGCAAATCCCCTCGGAACTAGCTTTCCAGTAAGGGTCGTTATGGTACACGATCCTTCGAAGACCCCATTGAGATCGACCAGTGCACCATGTTTCCAGGGCTAATTCTTCTGATGCCGTCCACGTACGTGGCCACTATGAAGATTTTCTTATAGAATGGAATGCACTCTTTAATAATAAGTTGGAACCGTTCGGTCTGAGTTGAGTAAAATGTGCTTAAATCCATCTGGAAGTGGAGGCAAAATCTTTTTTTTTTTGGCCCCCCTGTATAGTAGCACCGACCTAGAGCTTCAGTTGTGGGTAGGAAGGGTTGGAGTTCTCCAGATAATTTCGTTTTCTGAAAGTTCACCATATTTGCCTCTGTTTTTTTTTGTTGGTTTTTTTATGTTTTTTTTTGCTAGCAATCTGCAAGACAGGCCCAAGATAACCTAGGCGATCGTTAGCAGAGCAAGGTTTGGCTGGATGTAACCAGCGCGAGCAAATAGAAAGACCACGTCGTGCTAGAAGTTTCTGTCTATGCGGGGAAGTTCGGTATAATCGAACGGTTTCTCCTTGTAGCGACGGCTCTTTCAAGCCCTCAATCACCTTGGCACAAAGCCAAAAATTTCCATGCTGCACCGCAGTCTCACAAATCTTAATCGTACCTTAAAATCTCCGTCGACTACTGCTGTTCCTTTGAACTCTGGCAATTTGCACATAGGACCAAGTGGCCGAACTGCTTCGTTGGGAGGTTGCTTGAAGGACTGCGTAGCGGCGTTGCGCACACAGGAGACGTGATGGCTGCTCCGAATTGAGGGTCGGTTAGCGAAGCATCTTGTTCTGGAAAGCACCTGAGTGGGGACGTGGAAGGAGAGAATAACTGGACCTGTCGTACGTTGTTGCCGTTCCGTTATTCCTTTCTCATCAAGGTGCCAGACTAGTGAAAGTAGTGAAACTTTGTCGAACAAACTGCTAACCGATGGATGTGAAACTGTGCGCTATGGCGAAATGTAAAAGATCGGGTCCACGGTGCAGGCCTGGGGAGAAGAAGGGGATAGCTATCAGTCATCGATTCTGTTGACGTCCCATGGTGTGATTATCGAGAAGATAGCGTCTTCCGAAAAAAAACGCAATGTCAGGCCGCGAGTGGTGCTAGGCTTCTTAAGTAGTGCAGACACTATGTTTGGTAGTTCACATTTGTCTTTCAAGATAGATAGGCAACGAACATGTGAGGAGGGGTGGTTTAAAATTGTTCGCATTTATTTGGTTGCCATTTTTGGGTTTTTATAGAGCTAGTTTTCATGTTTTTTTTCGTGGAGCACGGTGTCTGACAAGCTATTACGAAGGGTCAATACTACAATCTTTCACGCAGTGCAGCCACCGTAAGATCAGGGTGTAGTTTTCGTAGCTGAAAAGCCACCCGGCAGACACGAGGGAAACCGCCTGTTTGCCAGCATGTTGATATCTAAGTAAGCTATAAGACCGCGTTCATGGTTCACGGACTCGGTGAGTGGAACAATAAGCGATAGGATATTAGGACCTTCAGCTGAGGAGAATAGGTACGTATCAATTGGAAGCCTGAGTAGTAGAATCAGACATTCTAAAGCTGATCAAGTACGTATCCAAGGTCTATTTCGGCCGTTTCATCGGTATGGGCGTATCTTAATCCTTTCAAGCGGAATATCCTATTCTAAACGCTGTCTGACTTTACTGCTACCCTAATTTTCCTATCAATACGTATCCATTCCATTGTCCGCTACTATCCTAATCTCCGCAGTCGCCAACTATGAACGCGGCCTAAGGTTTAGCATTAAACAGAAAATGACGCGTACAGTCGAACAATCATGAGCGGTAAGATTAGGAATATGACGCTGGGTCCTAGCGGTTTTCAAAATCTCATCACTGAAAGCAGTGCTGCATAGAATAGGGCGAAAGTGCTACGTGCCGACCGCATGCAAAACCCATTTGCAAAGCAAGAGAAACCCATTTGCCAAGGAAGGAAGGGAAAATACAGGAGAGAGACTGTACAAAGAGAGCAGCATGTTTACTGCGACCTTTAAACAGTGCCAGCGACTGATAACACTGATCAATTTCAGAAGTATATCAGCTGGCTTTCCAACAGTACACATCTTTAATATCAACCAATTAATCATTCCACACTTTATTCGCAACATAACGAGGTGAAAACGAACTAAAGTCGTCGAGTGAAAACACGTGGCGGTGCATAAGATCATCATCGTACAGCAAAGAAAAAAAAACTGGTAAAATCGATAATTAATGGTTCAACAACGAAAAAATGTTGAAATCCAAGAAACACACTCCGTTACACACACGGCTTTCGGAATTGTCAAAATATCAATGTGTTGACCGATGTGTTTCTTCAGCTATTTCTTTCCTCTGCTTGAAGGCGGTGGCTTCACAAAGCACCAAGTGACAGCAATTTTCTGACCGAGCAAATCCTCTCCGTTAAGACCTTCGATTGCAGCGGCCGCTTCCTTAAATGAAGCAATCAAGCCGTCGACACTACCAAAATCCATCAAATAAATGTCCTAACCTTCTGCGTCTCAAATTCCACCAAAGCATAACCTTTAAGAAAGCCCGTTCTTCGATCCAAATTCAGATGAACGTTCTTGATTTCACCATACTCTCCGAATTTGTCCTGCACGTCTTCTTCAGTGGCCTCTTCATGGATATTCGTCACAAACACAATCCATCCCTGAATTGGGTTACTGAAAGCTTTGCATAGAAGGTACTATTTCTTTGTAGTATTCAATCCTAAGAACTCTTGAGCGAACAATCTCAATTTAAGTATTCAAAGTTATTTTCACAGCTATATCGTAAGAGCTCCACGGGAAATCCATTTTAGTCACAAAACATGGCGTGAAATATCTGTCGCAGACCTTGTTCTAAGCTTACATCTGTGACTAAGAAAAATATCAAGACCAACATATCCACAAAAGCTCAGAAGAGAATGGCCTCAAAATTCAATCTCTTAATGGACATGAGGGAAGTCATTTACTACCACACTCTTTCACATGGTGAAATATT